TGCCGTTCCGTGTAGAAAAGCACAGCACAATTGTGCACGTGCTTATCTGTAAGAACAAGGGAGAGGGGCGGGCTTTATACTCTCCTATTCTTATTATGGTTTTTTGTTTGCTCGGGATTATAGCTCTCCTATTCCTCATGAACGCTTAAAATGGGCTACGGGGAAAAACAAAGAAATGACTGAGGATTCCATGCTGATGTGATCTGATCTCATGCCCATTTATCCATTAAACTTGATTACTTTGGACAGATGCAGCTAAATTTCCAAAATTGCTATTGCTCATAAAACTAACGCCTTGGTGTCGTGCCAATGCTCAACAACTCAAACAAACCAAGCCACAGTTCGTCATCTTCAGCTCACCACAGACCGGGGCGCAGCCTTTGCTCTGTTTGGAGTGGCCGTGCCCCCCCCCCCCCCTCCAGTTTGAGTTCGGGCCTCCATTGTTGGGCTGCCCCTGCCCATGTTTGGTCCCCCAAATATTTGGCACAGCTACCGTTATATTTTGCTTGCCCTTCACAGTTTGGAATCTGGCTCCCGATGCCCTGTCAGTTCTTTGAAGCAAAGATAATTCAAGATTTTGTAGCGACTCACAATTTGGCGTTGAAGAAAGACACTTATGTTACACAATATCCAATAACTTACGCAAAGCGAGTCCTGCAAAAGTTGCGTTTTGGAAGTCCCCAGCATCACAGTGAATGGTTATGCGTCGTTAGAGCTGTACGACGCCTCTTCTGGGACCACATGGCGACGCCTGTCTCTCGCCCTGGCAGAAAGGGCGGACACCGCGGGGAATCAAACCCCACAGAGAATGGTTAAACGCAACAACAATAACCTGTTCACATTTTATAACTTGTAGTGTCATTCGGGCAGCATGTCATGACGCCAAAATTGAAATGTTGGTGGTGTCAGCAGAAAGCGACGAAACTCGCGATATTCTGTCTTGAAGTAGAACATGCCGCCAGCTCCCTGGAATATAAGTAACGTCTTTTGTGTTGTTAACTTGGAAATATTCAAATATTGTGCTGCATGTTTTGAGCGTCTTGAAGGATGGCGAGAAATTCTTACATTTTAATTGAGAAACGTGACACGAGGGATGCATAAGCAAAATGAGCTCCAGGTATTGAAAACAAGAATATTGCGCAGACTACATCCCGGCACGTAAAATCGGCTTGCATTCGAAACATATTGCAGTTGTAGTATCGCATAGTAGAAGCTTGTAAAAGACGCATATCTTGTCATACGTAGTTTACACAACGCACAATGTGTAACGCCTACGTATTTCGTCCACAGTTGCCTAAGTATTTTCATATCGTTCTAGCATGTACAGCACCACGGACTCATGACCCAACGGCGTGATTTCGGTTGCGGTTGCGTGATGCTGCAACTGCTAATTGCATTCTGGGAATCTACCTCGAAATTGCGCCGCTAATTGTCCTGGTCAGGAGCTGAAGGGCCGTCTCGTCCCAGCTCGGGGTAACTAGCAACTGTTATTCTGGCGATACGGGGACTGGGCGCCCAGGTCGATCAAGAGGCCCTCAGAGGGACATCTCATGCTCCGGTCACATCCCTGATGCGGCATGCCCTGGGACCTGGGCACCTGACACAACCAATTCGGCTTATCGACTCCTGCCCCTGGGTAAAACGGTGCGGAAGGCTGCTCGCTCGGTCCTGCGACCTCATACTGCTAGAGGTCACCGTCTCATTGTAGGTGCAAACCGTGCATCATGCTTCCTCATGTCTCCTGTCATTCCAAGGGGGGTCATAGCCAAGGCAAGAGGCCTTTTCACGTCCCATGTCCCTCACCCGTCCCTGTTCAGCAAATATGCCCGAGGCCGTCCTTGGGCTTATTGCCGACACGGGGCCCCTTGTTAGGCATTGTGATTCTCTGATCCGCACCGGGGCTAGACCAAAGCACGATCCTTTGAATTAAAATTTGCAGGCCTGGTCCTTCACTGACTTGGGAAAGAGGCCCCAGGGCCAGGGCCGGCGCGAGACGGAGTGTTCGATATTGCCTGCTGACTGAGGTCCCTTCATCTCCCGGTCCGCCCTTCGGCCGCTTCGATCGGACCCTTAAATGTCGTTCCCTCGGGTCCAAAGGGCTCTTCAGGACCGCAGGACCTAAAGACCTAAGGTAGGTCACGTGTCCCTGTCCCACCGACAGTGGCGGCCTCGGTTCCTCGAAAAAGAAATGGGGCAACCATCGTGCCCTCTGAAGTTTGACGCCACTTTAAATAAAAGGGCTCGGACACCTTCGCGGTGGCTCCCTAGCAGTGGATGCCTCTTCAAAATACAGGTCGTCATGCCCGAAATGAAAACATCGGACTTGTTTTTCGACGAGAGGTCCGACTTACGATTTAGCCAGAATGGAAGACACAAAAGTTGTGTAGCCCCCGATTTTGGTGCCCTTTGAAAACAAAGATGCTTGTGTCCTTGAAATGACTTGTTTGGATTTGGTACCTGCTAAGAATAAAGGTTATGCTGCCCCGAAGTAAAAGTGTTGATGGCTCATCGCGCAAATGGGCCGGTCTCGGATTTCCACCCTGGAGAGGTACAGGCGTTGTGCTGCCCCTGAACTTTACTGACTCTTGAAAATAAACGTTTTGGAATCCAGTGTAGTGCCCGCTGTAATTGGGTGCGGGCTCAGATAATGTTCATGATACTCCGCAATAAAGGTTGTGTAGCGCCCATTTGCGATAGGGTTCAGTCCAGAATTTGGCCAGCATGGAAAGTAAAGAAATCGTGGTACTGCTTAAAGTGAAGATTTCGGGACGCGCTCAGTGACCCGCTTACACTTGTTGCCTATAGAATATGAAGGTTTTGGTAGTGCGGAATGAAGGTTCCGGTGTTCCTTCGCCGAATAAGCCGATCCATGATTTTGTCATTGGAACTACAAACGTAATGCTATTTCCCCCAAAATTGGTTTTCTTCTAAGCATATGTGTTTTGAGACTCTTTTAGGTGCCGCTGGAATTGGGCGTCTCTGGAAAATAAAGTTTATGACCCCAAAGTAGAAATGTTAGTGTCATTTTGCCAAACGTCAAAAGAACGGACCGTTCAAGAATTTCGTCATGGTGAGACGCACGAAACCTCTCTTGAAAATAAAGGTCACGGTACCTCGAAATCGAGGTTTTGGTGCCCCTTGCCTGAGGAACTGTTCCAGGATTTTGTTCGGGGTGGGAGGCACAACATTACTGTGAGTCAGTCAGGGGTCAGGGGCCGCCTTCGACCTGTCGTTAGCACGTTTGTCAGCACCGATCACGGCCCAGTACCCGCCCTACGCAACGTCACCGCACCACGAAATTACGTGATCTGTGACGTTACGCGCCGGCTGACAATGATGCCAGGATTTTTTTGTCAGCACGTCAGCATGGGAGGAAAGCGCTGCCAGATTAAAAAAGCACTCTGGCCCGTTCGATCTGCCGTCAGCACGATTGCCAGCTGGAATGTATGACGTCGTGCATGCTGACGAAGCATGTTTGGGCTGACGGGAGAGTTTTTTAACTTCACTTTCCATATTTCCTTTACCTTTTAACTACTTCAGACCACGTACTAACTCTGGCTTACCGTGGACCATGACACAATACCTATATAGGGGTGTTTGGAAGTGCGGTTCGTGCTCCAGTGTTCCCATTGTCTATCCCATCCGTATGTGAGTGGTTCTTCCTATTTCCAACTCATTTCAATTTCGCCCCTTTCATTTCAGGTGTTTACCTATAACGCTACTGTATCACCGAGCAACGCAACCACACACCACGCCAGTCATTGTCCCTCACCTCTCCATGGCTGCTCTTAGCTTTTCATTTCCCTCCTTATCTCTCTTACGTCGCATTTTCACCAAAATTAGACAAGTGCCCCCACCTCACCTCACGTACTGTAGGGCGAATACTGGGCTGTGATTGACACTGTATCGTGGTAATGGCTGGCAAGCGCTCTTTGTTTAATCCCCTGAATGTTGGTTTCCTGTAACAACTGTGGCTTGCTGTTAAAAAACCAGAAAAATCGATTAGGATCATCTGCAGGCAATCTTGAATTCACTTCTGCTCTTGTTTCGATAAAGGCATGTTTCCGAAACACCAACCCAACTATATCTTTATTCTCCTGGCTTTTCTCCGAGGATTAAAGGTAACACTACTGTCCTATCTGTGTGAATATCGTTCCTCGCTAATGCACTGAACAACTTACGTAAAAAGCGGGAGGAGTTTATTTGGTAGCTCTTACGTTGGCGAGTGCGTTTGATATGGTAGGGCCACTTACACAAGTAGCGCTGAAGTGATCGTAAGACATCGGGATCAGGAGTGAAACGCCACGGGTCTCGCACATGGGCTTTGCCGGTACCAGTGGGAGTTCAATGAAAGGATGGCCTTTATGCAAGCACAAGTAGCAGTGAACGATTGATAGACCTTTTGCACACAAAAATGAGTGAAAAACTTTTAAAATGAAAAGAAAAGACAAGAGAAGAAGTTGAAATGAGATGAGAATGGGAAGAAACAATCCACTTACGGATTAGTAGTCAGTAGTTAGAAGTAGTTAAAAAGCAAAGTAAAAAGTAAAGTAAATTTAACAACTTTCCGGTCAGCCCACACATCGAACACTCCGTCAGCACGGAAGACGTCACACATTCCAGCTGACAAACGTACCGACGACAGATCGAACGCGGTCAGGGATGGGAAGACCGCCATTCTTCCGAAACTCCTGCTGCCGACGCCGGTGGCCGGCGACGTTACCGCTCCCCCATCCCCCGTCCACCTCCCCACCTCCGCGCCCGCGCCGTCCACCCCACCCCCAGCCCCAGTCCGGTCAGCCGTCCTGCGTTCTCCCAGCCCTTGCGTTTTTGTCGGGCGGCGGGCGGCGGGCGGCGGGCGGCGGGCGGCGGGCGGCGGCGGCGGGCGGCGGGACGGCGGCCAGCGGCGGTGCCGCGGGCAGGCCCCAGCGCGCGCTCGCCCGGCGCCGGCTCCGGGCACGCTCAGAGCGGGCTCGGCGCGCCGGCTGACGTGTGCGGTGTGGGGAGCTCGCGGACGTCATGTGGAGCTCGGTGGTGACAGCGGCCCTGCTGCTGGCGCTGGCGGCCGTGGCCAGGGCGCGAGGAACTGATGAGGTGGCGGCGCTGACGACGGCTCAGTGCAGAGCGACATGTCTGGACGAGGTGAGACAGGAGGCGTTGGATTGTGTCAGGTTATGGTGGGGTCAAACCCTTGATTGCGATTCGTTCGGGGATGGAGGGGCTTGCGTATTGCGGAAAATTGTGATTGTGATGTTTTTGACGCCTGCAAGTGCATATTGCCTGGCCAGTACCCCACCACAGCCTATTTGTACTCGTACCTATTTGACGTGTTGTACCTGCCATCTAGCTACCTTCGTCAAACCTGTCTGGTGTTATGTGCTGTTCATTGATAATAATTGCCGACACCTTTGGTGAGATGTCATACTAAGAAGCGCTGCATGGAATGGAACAGAATGAACCTGCTGCTTACCAACACTTATGGATAAACAAGCAAGGGTTACGTTCTAACCATTGATACTGACTGGGATGCTGGGCTAGAACGGCACGCACTCTTCCTGGGACAGAACAAGACACATGTTTGGCGAGGCAGAACCAGACACATTCGTTCTGTCTCTGGCGACTCCACGTGATCTTTCCGGCGCCCTCCACTGACTGCAGTGATAGGCCTCGTTCGCTTCATATGGGTTTCTTCTGGGACTATAGCGCTGGCGCGTGCTGTGCAGCCGATTGTCGCCCGTTCCCCGCGCTGGTCATCACACCCGGCTCCGAGTCCGCGCCATCGAGACCCGACGGCGACGGGGCTTCCAACGCCTGTCCGCCGGCTGCCCCTGACGCAAGCAGTAGGGGTCAGTTTGGCCGGCGCTGGAGCGGACCAGTCAGCGGACCAGTCTCTGACCAGACCAGAGAGCTGGCTGCGCAGTCCCCGCTCCGCTCCTGAACCAGAGCCCGCTGTGGGCACTCGTCGCGTGAAGTACGATGGCCCGAGACGCGCGCGGTGCCGGACGCGGCCGACCGGACTCAGCTCTCTGGCTCAGCGCCGAAGCTGTCAGGCGATTTTGAAGCAGTGGACTTCTCCCCGATTTTAAGACTTGATATATTTCGTGTGATTGAGGAGATCATTGCGCGCAATTGGGTGAATGGCGTCCCTAGTGCGGCCTGACGGGTCACCGCTGCCCACCTTACAGTCTCGGTGAGCCGGAAGCGCTCCCCAGCGCCGCGCTCAGTTCACAGACCCCCCCCCCCCCCCTCCCCGGACGCCGTGCGGCCGCGCCCCGAGCGTCACCATTGTCGTCGGACGGGTCCGACCCGGAACGCGTGAGCGGCCGTTTTGCAGGAGTTGTGCGACAATGTCACATCAGGCAGCTCGCACGGCGGCCGACTTGTCCGACAAGTGGCTGCACTGGCGCTGTCGGCGGCCGACCGGTCCGGCCGCCGTCGCGGCTGAACGGCCGCCGACGCGAGCGCGAGGGCTCTAATCTGACGCGGTAGCCTCCCAGCCCACGATTCGCCGCTCCGCCTGCGCGCGCCACGGATCAAGGCGGAGTGCGGCGGATCAAGGCGGAGTGCGGCGCCGCGCGGGAGCTCGCCGATAAGCGAGGAGCGCCGATTCGACCCCGCCGGTCAGACGGCGCTATCGCCGGCTGCAATCGAAGCTCGCTCGAGCTGCTGCGGTCGCCCGGCCCGGCGCGTGGTGCGCAGACCGCTTCCGGGGTGCGTGGTGGGCTGTTCCGCTCCGACCCGGCGCAGATGTCGCCGCGTCACGGCCGCCAGTCTGTACACCCATCACTGATCGTCCGTCCGCCAGCCCGGCTAGGGCGGGAAATGCGGCGGACGGACAGCTCTGCGGCGGCTACGATCAGACTCGATTGCGCTCCCTCGCGGAACGGCGGTGTAGACGCGGGGTCTTATGAGGACCGTCCCAGAGGCCGCTCCACCCCGAGGTGGGGCCCCGACACTCAGTCGCTTGTCCGCGACATCCCTTCAACCGATGTTCGATAGTCGGACTGACGAACAGGCTGGTCATCCCGAACCAGGCCGGGCCCCGGACATTCCCGTCTCAGTCCCTCCCAGGTGTCGGCCACCGGGCGACACTTCCGGCGCGGGTATTTGTCAGCGGCGGGCGGCGTAAACGTCACCGCTCCCGACGGGGGGCCAGCGCGGCCGCCCTTCCCACCGATCCTTGGCCGTCGGTCCGCCAGCTCCACTTCTCCGGCCGCGGCGGCCGACAACAATGAAGCTCCGGGCCGCTCGGGAAGCGCTCCTTTCAGGGCCGCCGCGCGGCGCGCACAGGTGGCCGCGCGGCATTCACGGCGCACGGCCCAATGGGCGGCGGACGCGGCGCGCCACCGGCCGTCGCGCCGGCATCCAGCCGATGCGCGGCCGATGGCGCTAAACGGCAACCGCGCCTTCGAGACTGTACGCGGCCGCTCGGCGAAGCCGTACGGCGCTGCGAGAGCGCCCAACGCTCCCACTACGGGCCCCCGGGCCAGCTGCACTGTGACCGGTCCCAGCAAGATCTGCCGGCATTTTTCCGATCTGCCGCCGGATCGGCACGGAGACGCGCACTTGACCTTGGCTGGTCGTGATCTCGTGCTAATGACTGGCGGCCGGCGGACAGGACGGCGTGTAGATGCGCAGATTGGCCGAGCGGCCGTCTCGAGCGCGGCTTTTTGCACGGCGAAGGACACCGCCGTCGGCCGTATCTGGTGCGACCATCGAGCCGCAGCCGGGGCGGCCCGACTGGGTGCGGGCTCAAGACGTGCGTTCTTGGCCCGCCAGCCCGGCGCCTTTAAGCCGGTGTGGATGCGCCGGCCATCCGCCGGGATTGATGCGAGGCACTCAGAGTCTCGAGGCACAGACGTGCTGGTCACGTTTTGTGGTATTTATTCACTGGAGGAGATGTTGAAGCGTATTGTGTTGCATGCACAGAGTAAGTAACAAGCAGACGCCATGTGCCGATGCCCGAAAGCTAGTGACCTTTGAAAAATGATTATTACAGATCAATAATACGAGCCTGGCTTCAGTTTGGCAACTACCACATCTTCAGCAGTGGTTCAGGCATGGTCAAGAAAGCAGCTCCATGGGTAAAGCTTTAGATCACTTCGGGTGAGAGAAGGGGTTGGACCCTTAATTGCGTCTCGGTTTTCTCCAATATTTGAACAAAATTATTTGGCCACCTCGACCACTAGCAACAAAAAAACCGTTTTTCGATTATAGCAAGCTGGTTTTTACTCAGTCTTTCCCAGTGAATCTGATGAAACTTGGCTTTTGGTTAGTTTGATGAAAAATAAATATGCTGATAATTTTAAGTTGTACCATTTCCTGGCACAGTTCGATCACATCGTGTAGCGGCAGAGCGCCATGCTTGGCAACTAGACATATCGTAACAAGGTGCGGAGACAGCTACTACGTCCAGGTTTTCGCAGTAGGGGATGGCGCAACATGTTTTTCTTAGGAAGACAAGAATAGCACGCCGTCATGTCGGTCACACTTTTTATTTTCAAAGCGTATAACAACGTCGCGTGCCTTAAGTCCACCTATTTGTATATGTACACCCTGAATTTTAGTTGTCGGCACCTATGCGCTTTCACGTTAAGACGTGAAAGGCTGGTGTGATAATATTTAATAAAAGGCTTGGTTAAATATTTTGAATGTGGTTACATTTTGCTGTTTTTTTCTGAAGGAAAACATTCCACTCCATTTACCTCCTCCTCATTCTCGGTCCGACTTTGGGCCTCATTCCTTACTCATAATATAAATATGATTTTGCTGAGATGCGTTACACCCCATGTCCTTAGATAAGACAGCGCATTGGGGCCAGGTCACAATGGGCCATGCGGGTCTTCGGCCGGCTGGATCTCAGAAGGCTACCGCGAAGCGGGCTGGGGACGGAATTGCTAAAACGAATTCCATCTTCGGTGCACATCGAGGTGGCGTTGATGGGCCATGCATGATGGGAGTGCCGCTACTCCTGGTAATCGCGCTGACTGTTATCAGAGACCGTTAGCTTCTTCGCCCACAGCCCTCGGTTATTTTATGGGTCCTTCAGTTGTACGACAACAAGGAAAAGACTGAATCAACTGCTTTCAAATTGAAACATGAAAAACACCGCATGGAAAGCAGGTCGTAAAATTGTGCGTCGCACGACAGCTCGTAAATCAACGGGCATTGAATGGAACAGGTTTCCCCTCCCAACTCCGTTGCGCGGCGCCTGCAACGCGGCACAGGCTCGTATCTCCGTCGTCTGCGCTACGCGGGAGCCCCTCCCGTCGGGAACTGCATTGTGACACAGGGCAGTATACCGGCGCGGCGCCTGAGATACGGCTTGTTGCCGCCGAAGCGCCTCGCCCCATACTCCCCCCCCCCCCCCCCCTCTCCCAGATCGCTGTCCAAACGCTGGCCGGCGCCGGCGCCGCTCCAGGGCTGTATTCTCGGGCGCGAGCAGCGGCGGCGCGGGCGGCCCGTGCTCGGCGCGGGCTTGCCACGCGCGCCGGAGAGAGACGTACGCGGCGCGGTCGGGGTCGCCGCCCGCCGCCATTGTATGGCCGCAGCGGGAGCCGTGCAGGAGCCGCGGGAGCCGCTCCCCGTGCCGTGGAGCCGCGCTGGCCCGGGCTCGGTGCGTTGGCACCGCGCCGCCGCCGGCGTTGCGTGCGCTCCGCTGATTTGATGACGCTGGCCGGCGGCAGCGCAAGCAGCTTCGGAGGCGGGAAGGCGCGCCGTAATTCGCCCCAGATGATATCGCTCGGTCCAACCGGCGTTTTACTGCCGGCCGGCGGCCGCGCCGGCGGCAGGCCGACGCTTCGTCACGCGTTGGAGCGCCGTAAAGGAGCCGAGTCTGGCGTTAAGACCGTCCCACACCGGCCAATGTCCGGCGCGTAGCGTTACGATGCGATGCAGTGCGGAACTGAAAAGTAGCATAACGCTAGAGCTAGTGAGATTCCTCAGCACCCCCATCCCCCCTGGCTGTTTTTCGATGCTCAGCGGTGCGATGCGATGCGAGACGGAACAGCGCTGAAAAGCGCCATAGCAACCAATATCACGCGTACGTTGATATGGACAAACCGCCTGCGACAAAGATCATTTCGTCGAAATAGCAATGTTGTTGGAATGCCTCAATGTTTGACCGAAATTTAGGTTAACATCCGCCAGGAGGCGGCGCACCGTCCCGTCTCACACACATGTGGCTGTGTGGGACGCTTTTTGGAATCTCATTGGCTGTGAAGTTTTCTACTTTTCAGTGCCGTTCCGACTTGCATCACATCGCAACGCCACGCGACAAAAAGTGGCCGTTGTGGGCCAAGCTTTGCCTGGTCCGGGTCGGACTCTGACCGCGCGTAACGAACGCGGTCGCGAAGGCTGCGGCAGGCCGCTGACCGGTGTGCTTTCTATTGCAGCTCACGCTGGAGACGCCGGTGCCTTTCAAGTGGTGCTCGCTGACCAGCGCCTGCCTGACGGTAAGGGGAAGGGCCACGCAGAGGCTGCGGTCGTCCCGTCCCGGCACGCTCGGCTGCGGCGGCGCAGGTGTTGGAGGCGCCAGCGGTGCCGCTCAAGCCTGGCCGACCCCACCGCAGGCCGTCCTCAGCCCTGCTCTCTGGGGCAGATAACCACATGCTTCCTCACCACTTTGGTACTTCTGTGGCAGATAACCACTGGCTGTAGCTCTATTTGATATGATGGACGCATACAGCCAATTCACCCGTCTCTGTCTTACATTGTCCTTGATAATCCAGCCTCGCTCCCCTTCCTTATCATGCAATCTTCTTGAAAATTTTACCGCCTTTTCATTCCGGTCTTCATGGATGTCTATGGCATGCCTTGGACTTGAATAAATTTTATGATATCAAAAAACATCCAATCGACTGACTTTCTCCTTCCGTCACTCGTAGCCGCGGGCTTCGTTCTACCTTTTCCAGCGTCCACTTAAACCCATATTCACTGTTTCCACTTTACTCCGCTCTCTTTTTCTTTCTCTGTCCTTCTTCCCTCTCCTCTCTCTCACCCTCTCTCTCTCTCTCTCTCTCTCTCTCTCTCTCTCTCTCTCTCTCTCTCTCTCTCTCTCTCTCTCTCTCTCTCTCTCTCTCTCTCTCTCTCTCTCTCTCTCTCTCTCTCTCTCTCTCTCTCTCTCTCTCTCTCTCTCTCTCTCTCTCTCTCTCTCTCTCTCTCTCTCTCTCTCTCTCTCTCTCTCTCTCCCTCCTTCGTTTCCTCAGCTATCTGCTTTTTATGGCACCCTTGCCGACACATTACGCGATGGGCGCCATTTGTCACTGCTCACCGACAGAGCTAATTTCATTCGGTGTTGATGAGCTGTAAAATAAGAAATTCCGCGCTCAGATTCGGCTCCAAACCGCCGGCCGGTCAGCTGCCATTAGGCGAAATGAATTAAATTAATCTGGTGGCTTTGTGATAAGGTCTGGGGCCTGTCAGCTGCGAATGCGCTGGCGCCAGTGATGGAGCCCCTGTCCGCGACAGCATCGGGCCCTGTTCTTCAGACGCCGAACCTCCCTCGGCAACCCGATCCTCGGCTTTGGCAGCCTTATCGACGGCAGGGGCGCAGGCCCACCCGTTCTAAAGTGGCGCGCGCCGCCAGCCGGCCGCGGGCGTGCGGGATCGCCAGGGCGCGCGCGCAGGGACGGCCTCGTCTTCCGCTAACGAAATGTGGGTGCAGGCTTTGGGATGCAGTGGGTGTATCTCCGACACAACGTGGTGCTTTAGTCCTAAATTCGTTAACAATCTCTCAATTATGAAACACGTTGTTTTGAAGGGAATGACACCGTCCATCATATTTGACATGTGTTTTATGCTTAATTCGAATGATTTTACACGAGACTGGAAGCAAAGCACGCCTCACCAGCCGTATTCTATATACTGAAGCAATGACGCCTTGTGTTCGGAGATGCCACATTACGGAAACCACACTGTTATGAGGCATACGGGGCCGACCGTCTGGTGCCATAGTCACCAGCGACCTGGTCTAGGCCAATAGCTTTCTCTTGCAGACGCCCATGAACTCCCCAAAATGTGAGAAGACCAAACTCAGGTTTAGTGTCAGTTCTTCCCCTGGAAAAAAAACGCGAATGCATGAACACACATATTCAGGTCATAGTAGTGTGCCTGTACACCAGACGTTACTCCGTGAGTCGGGGTGTCGGACAGTGAGACAGGAGCGCCTGCCTGGCCGCCGCCTGCCCCGCTCTGCGGCCGTCGGGGCGGTGGCGGCTAGCCAGGCGGGCGGGCCGTCTGGGCCGCTGTCTGCCGGGCCGGGCAGGGCCACCGCCGGCCCCCGGCTGCCCGCCCGCCCCCGGGCGGCCGCCGCCGTAAGGGCGACAGTGGCAGGCCGGGCGGTCGGCGAGGCGACCTTCGCAGCGCCGCGGCGGGTCCGGCCGTTAATGAGGGTGGGCGCGGGGTATTGGGCTGGGACGGTGGGGCCGACCCCAGTGCACCCCCGCCCCTCCCGCCCGCCCCGCCCCGCGCTCCTCTCGGTTGGTTATGATAAGAGGAACCGGGTCCCGTGCGTCGTACCACCGGAACAATATTCCGGTGAGGGTTTGTTGACTGGTCGTGACTAACGGGCGCAAGTCCAGAACAAACAACTGGCGACAACAGACGCGAATGACAGTCATTTGGCGATCAGAACGCTATGCGAAACGGCGTCTGATTGCATGAAGGGACGGGTAATTGTAGCCCGTTAGTACAGAGCCTTCAGTGTATGATAACGTGACGCATCCAGAATCTCCTGGACCGGAGTCGGGACGCTCAACGGCGGCGCGAGACGCCGATGGCCCCGGAATCATACAGGCCGAAGGATCAAGGGCACGCCGCTGTTTTGGTAATTAAGCGTCGACGCGTAGTCAGCTTTCAATCCTTCGCGAAGAAAATGACGCAATCAAGTAGATTTCCTAATAATATGGTGCGGATCACTTTTTTCATTTTCGATGTAGCGACATATGCGTTCTACATACCCAATGGTCTCATATCAGAAGTGTGTTCTAGCGGCATATAGTAAAACACGTCATTTTTCACCATAGTTGCCAGAAATGGGCTATTTCTGTTGGCATTAGGCATTTCTTCAGAAAGACGCGGTGCCATCACAATGCATTTTTAGCCGCTGTTCTGTGTGGATAAAACCATTTTCAGAAAGATGCTGCTGTCATTGGACTTCAGTTATCTTGATTTACCGGTTTCTAGAACTAATTCAGCTCTTGTAAAAAAGTGCAATCCCTTTAAAGCCTTAGGAACACGTGCGACCAGAATAATAATAGCTTCAGTGCAGCGTTTTTGGAACGGAAGCCGTCGGGCTGACCAAACAAATATCGATGGCATCTGCTAGCAAATCCTTCCCAATTATGCAAATCTACTTTCCTATTTGTGTTGGTGGCGTAGAGAGCACGGGTGTGACCAAGCTTCATCGAGTAGAACATTTACACAAATTGCTTGCTTATATATTGGTATTAGTAAGCACGTTGACTACTTCAGCCATTTTGCTTCCTTTTTCTTGTTTTGCACAATGTAAGTGTTCGCACATTGTAAGTGATTACTGTTCGCCGTTGTTCATTTTAGTGTTCTGTTGGATTACATAGGATCTAGGTGGAACCCAGGGCTACTAGAGCGAAGGCGGCATCGAGGTCGGACCTTTCTTTGGAGTGACGGACGAGTTGGCAACAGAGCAAAGTGAATAGGAGTTCATTGTCGCCAAAGTAACGTGGCGTTCAGATGGATCACAAACGAAATTAATTGTATGAATCAAACCATGGATCACAAACATTCGCAGGCCCATAGGATGCCTGGATCTATGTACGATATTAACGCTATTGCATGCCGCCAACCAAGTACCAATCACAAAATATTGGTGCCTTTAAACGGCATTCGATCTCTCCAACAGCCGAGTGCGTGCGCTGTGCACCGCACGACCGCGCCTCGGCCGGCCACCCGTGTGCTCCCCTGTGTCGGCCGGCCACCCGTATGCTCCCCTGTGTCGGGCGGCCATCCGTGTGCGCCCCTGTGTCGGCCGGCCACCCGTGTGCGCCCCTGTGTCGGCCGGCCACCCGTGTGCGCCCCTGTGTCGGCCGGCCACCCGTGTGCGCCCCTGTGTCGGCCGGCCACCCGTGTGCGCCCCTGTGCCGGCCGGCCACCCGTGTGCGCCCCTGTGCCGGCCGGGAACCCGGCTGAGGCACGTGCCCGCCTCTGCCGGCAGTGCTGGGACAGGTGTGGCTCGCTGCGCCGCGCCCCTGACGCCCGCCGCTCGGCCTGCCGTCGGCTGCCGTATTGTGTAAGTAGAGCCCGTCACGGCAGCGGCGCCCCCCAGCCGCGCTCGGCGCCTCGGGTAGCGCGACGGCGCGCTCCTCGCTTGTGGTGGGGTAACGTCTGCCGGGGGCGCTGCTCCACTATCAGCTCCCCTGCAGCCGGGAGCGGGCCCACTGCGCTGCTCTTCTGCAATGGGCTCCGATGCAGTTTGCTTGTCGCAACCCTCGCCAGCCGTGAAATTGTCACAGCAGCTGAATCGCCCGCGACGTCGAACTGCTGATTCACGGGTCAGGGACGAAGAATTGCTCCAAAAAGTGGAGTGGGAAACCGTTTTTGAGGCCAGTTATTTTCACGCACTACCATGACGTATCAACTTTCACAGTGTGTGCATGGCATCGGATCGCTAGTGCCCTGCTTCCAATGCCTCGGCACTGACCTGGCTGCCGGGCGGTGGGCGTCGGCGTCCGACGTCCGATCGCTATCGGCCCTGGTCGGCGGCATGACTTACCGCCGTGCAAAAGTGAGAGTGAGCGCAGTGTGGGTTGCGCGGCCGGCTCTGTGCCTGCCGGCGGTCTCTAAATTACGGCCGGGGCCGGCCGACCCGGTGCCCCCCCGGCTCGCCGCCGGCCGGTTGGCACTCGGAGTTGGCCCCCCATTTATTGCCCGTCCGAGCTGCCACTGTCGCTGCCTTCAAGGGCGAGCGGCTGTTGTAATGTCCCGGGATCGGTTTAATTGCTGGCGTCGACACGCGCACGGCACTGTGTGACCCGGCCGGTCAGGGTCGGGTCTCATCGGTGCACGACTCACGGAGCACCGATCTTGGAGCAAGAGAGCCGCACCACAAGAAGGCACCAGAGCTACAGAGTCGGAGTGCGAGACGGCGCCACAGCTACAAAGCCGGAGCACGAGACGGCACGACAGCTACGGAGCCGGAGCACGAGACGGCACCACAGCTACAAAGCCGGAGCACAAGACGGCACGAGAACTACAGAGCCTGAGCGCGAGACGGCGCCACAGCCACAGAGCCAGAGCGCGAGACGGCACCACAGCCACACAGACGGAGCACGAGACGGCACCACAGCCACAGAGCCGGTGCACGAGGCGGTGCCAAGGCCACAGAGCCGGAGCACGAGACGGAACCAGAGCTGCAGAGTCGGAACACGAGACGACACTAGAACTGTAGAGCCGGAGCACGAGACGAAACCAGAGCTGCAGAGCCGGAGCACGAGACGGAACCAGAGATGCAGAGTCGGAACACGAGACGACACTAGAACTGTAGAGCCGGAGCACGAGACGAAACCAGAGCTGCAGAGCCGGAACACGAGACGGAACCAGAGCTGCAGAGCCGGAGCACGAGGCGGCACCAGAGCTACAGAGCCGGGGCACGAGACGGTAGCAGAGCTGCCGAGCCAGAGCACGAGACGGTAACAGAGCTGCAGAGCTGGAGAACGAGGCGGCGCCAGAGCTGCAGAGCTGGAGTACGAGGTAGAGCCAGAGCTGCAGAGCTGGAGTACGAGGTGGAGCCAGAGCTGCAGAGCTGGAGTACGAGGTGGAGCCAGAACTGTGTGGGCGCCGGTTGACCCACGTCGAATGCAGTCAGGCGTTCTCGAAATGACTCTCGCGGCCAAGAAACAAAAGAGGGAATGCAACGAGAGTTTGTCTGTGGTCAAAATCTTGAGGCTCTCTGGTGAATTGTAAATGTTAAGACAGACGCCGTAGTAATCGTTTGCCACGCTAGCAGCTTGCCGATTTTAGATGTGTTCCAATGATTTCATTTCAGTGGGTGCCTAACACAGGGCTTAATGGGATTATATCCGTGCCGTAAATGCGAGCTGTTTGGTTGGTTGCTGTTACGGACCGTTGTTGGAAATCGTGCGCTGCTTTTTTCACACTTCCTTTTTTACGACAATTTTTGTATACCACACTTACGAAGTGCGGCTCGGCAATGAAGCACTGGAGACCAAGGAACATCTATGTAGATACGACTGTCTGTTTTGACCACACATTAGCAAAGATTATTCGAAGCCACCGGGTAAAGTATTATCACATACCACAAAATAACCCCCCTGCAACAAATTCGTTGACACGGAACGTATGTCTGCCCTTCCTCTTACGTCTGGGTCCGCCCGTATCTTATTCTTAAGAAGGATGTAGAGCTTATCTGCACAGATAAGTGCAGGAGAAACCAGACGCAATGCTCTTGACGCCAGTACCAAGATGTAACTCTAAGTTTCCTTACCGCAGCCCGGGGATACGACCCGCTGGGTAAGTTATCACCGCGCACGCGATGCTCGCAAATGCGATTAGCCTCCAAAGGCAGCGGCGAGCGCCATGAGCTTCCAAAGGCAGCAGCCAGCGCCATTAAGCCTCCGGTGCCCTGGCACGGCTGGGACGAGACTTGAGGTCACACGGACGCTGGATAACGCCAGGACGGCGGGCTGACGCGCGCCTCCTGTCGGCCACAGGACGCTGGCTGCCGGCTGGCCTGTCAGTTCCTCGCCGCACCACCGGCGGCGCCACCTCCGCGGTCGCGGCGTCCTCCGCAGCTGGAGCTGAGCGTCGACGGCGGCGAAGTCCGTTGGAGGATGGAGGGGGCCCCGCCGGACAACAGCGTGGTGTACCTGCTGCTGGCGAGGGCCGATGACATCTGGGAGGAGGTTGTGCAGGTGAGACAGACGAAAAGGGCAGTCAGCGCCTCACGCCAGCCGAAGCCGCGGCCAAACCAGAGTCACCCAAATCACAGATGCCTTGATAAGACAAGCCCATGATAATGTACCGTAGCAGTGACTAATTTTGCAGGACCACAGGTCAGGACTTAACGTCGCATAAAATAGGAATCACATGCAGTGAAAACCAAAAGTTGTCTACTGGTTCGATACCCATGCATGTCCCATTATGCAATGAATAGTTATGCAATGCCAAAGTGCAGTATTTGATGTCCACGCCTACGCCCAACATACCAGCTCACCACCCGTAGGCAGTGTGTGGTCCTATGAGGTCGCTGTAGGCAGTGTGTAGCCCGATGAGGCCGAATTTCGAGGACAATTTCGCCCACTGCAGGCCAATTACCGGACAGTGCGCTGAGACGTATCGCTGCCCCTCGCTCGCGACCTCCACCCCATACCTCGTGACCTGACCGCGGCCCGGCCTGACCTGTCTCAGACGCCGGAGCGGAGTGTAGCCGTGAACCAGCTGCCGGCGGGTACGCCGCTGCGCCTACTGGCTGTGGCGCGCTGGGGGCAGCTAGCGGCCGCCGACGCCGTCTTCCAGCCCTCCGAAACCCCGCGACCCTCCGAGGCCGCGGTGTCCTCCGATGCCCGGCGGCCCGCCGAGGTCCCGGAATACTCCGAGGCTCTGGAGTCCCCCGAGGTTCCTCGACGGCCACAGGACGGCGGGCAGCGGCTCGACGCTGAGAGCTTCCATGCCCAGGTACAGCCGGGGACGGGCGAGGTCCAGGCATGTCTGTGGCTCGGTCTGCGTCGTGACGGGGTTGCCTGCAACGTCCGATCTGCGGTCTTCGTCTGCCCGCTGATTTGGTCCACCAAAACCCAACAAACCCGTTCAGACGTCTTCAAATTTGGCCTCAGCAGCTTACAGGTGCATAACGACTTAACGAAAGAGTTTTTGATTCCCTGCCAGTCGGTTACGCGATGGGGCTTCCCTACTTGCCAGGCGAACAACGCGCCGTGTACGCCGCGCACTACTCGGCTCAGTTTGTCATGCAGACAGTTTAAGTCGCGTTGCGCCTTTCACGGGGTAAAACTGTGCCGAGTTCTCGGACCTGAGGACCCGAAGGTCTACCGCGTAAGCGATTAAGTCGATTAGCCGGCTGGCGGCCGCGGAAGGCGGGAGTCGGTGCCGCTTTGGCTGCTAAAATACTGGAAACCTCGCGAGTGTGGCACCGCTGCGTGCTACCGACACAGCTCAGTGAGCCAATCAGCCTTTGCCCAGATGCTTGCACATCACATGTAGCTCTGATTTAGGACCCACGCCATGGGGATTACGCTCGTGCTTTACTCGGGACAGGCCAGGGGCCTCTCCGGTAAGGCTGATCGAGTTACGAAGTCTGGCGCTCTACGTGTCCGCGAGCCCCAGGAGTCCGGCTGTGGGAGACGTCCCGTCGTATACGTGCCCGCGAGCCCCGGCAGTCCGGCTGTGGGAGACGTCCCCGTCGTATACGTGCCCGCGAGCCCCGGCAGTCCGGCTGTGGGAGACGTCCCCGTCGTATACGTGCCCGCGAGCCCCGGCAGTCCGGCTGTGGGAGACGTCCCCGTCGTATGCGTGCCCGCGAGCCTCGGGAGTCCGGCTGTGGGAGACGTCCCCGTCGTATACGTGCCCGCGAGCCTCGGGAGTCCGGCTGTGAGTGACCTCCCCGTCGTGTACGTGCCCGCGAGTCCTGGGAGTCCGGCTGTGGGAGACGTCCCCGTCGTGCGGTGTCAACCGCAACTTCCTCTCGAAATGCTGTGGGCGTGGCTGCTGGAGACGGGTGCCGTTGTGCTGCATGTGCTTTCAGCTCTGCGTGAGACGTCTCTGGGGATGTCGGCCTGACAGGTCCAGGGAGTGTGACCAAGAGCGAGCATGACCCCGGTTCCTCGCCGACCGACAGCGAGAATCGGTCCGTGGAAGACGGTGCGGCGGTCCTAACCACAATCTGCCCGTCAGGTTCCGGCCGTCTGGCCGCTGGAGACCATCTCGTTGGGACGTGTCGACAACATGGTGCTGGCCGAGATCAGCTGGGAGCCCCTGACGCGGGCCCGCACCGAGTACCTCGTGACCTGGGAGGTCAGCGGCGGCGGCATCAAAGGCCACCTCTACACCGATATGACGGCGGTCACACTAAGCTTGTGGCCAGAGTCGGTCTACAAAATTCAGGTGCGTGGGCGCAGGACGACAGCAACGCTGCTCGCCAGTAAATATGAGGGAAGCTTCTCAGGCTCGAGCACCCTCAGGGAGTCTATGCTTCTTAACTTAAGTGTGGGGATGTGGCGGTGGCGTAGAACGAATTGGCGTTACATCCCGGTCACCACCGATCCTTTTCCAGACGCTCTGCACCTATTTATGAACTTTATCAGAACAATGGTTGGCGTTGAGTAAGCGCAATTTACTGGTTTCCTTCTGACAACGCAAGTGGGCACAGTTCTCTTCATGAATGATGGAAGAACAGCTCTTCACCCTAACAGGTCTCGGACAAGTGAACTGTTTTTAATTTTTGTGTTCTGTCTTTCGCCATGATGCTATGAAGTATCATGATGAAAGAACCGGCTGCACTTATTGACTTTCCGTAGTGTTTACAAAAGGACCAGAACATTTTCAGAACTATTAGAGCGGAAAGAGAAACGGTTCTGCGAAGAAAAGTGCCATATAAATCGGTAGAACTTGCTCCATCGGCGCTTACCTAGCCCAAAAGAAAGTCTTGTTGTGAGCCCAATCTCTTACAGTGTTTCAGTGCATTATTTTCATTGAGGGCTCGGTATCGGTGTCGAGTGCAAATGTGTGACACCGTGACCTGTCATCCATTTGCCACCTGAGCCGTCTGTGTCGCGGCCGGGGAGCACGCCGGCTCAACACCGCTGACGTGCCTCAGCCCCCCAGCCCAATGGCGGTTGGCTCGTTCGAGTTAGTGCTCCGCTCAGGTTACCATCATGGCGTTTGTTTTTGTGTCGCGCGGCGAGTGAGTCTGCGCGTGCTCAGCCAAAACAGCGCCGGCTAAATCAGCGTGCGAATACAGAGGGTCTTCTGCACTGACTCCGTGACGGCGGGTAAGAATGCGAATCCTCACATCGCCTGGTCCATTTCTCGGATAAAAACAGTAAGAGAGTAGAAGGCTGCGATCGGCCAGCATTGTGTACCCGAAACTCACTCGGTGTTCTATAGTAATGGCTAAAAGGACGCAAAAGCAGATCGTGATCCGCAGAGTTTCTAATGAGATCATCGCATCATTTCAAGTGGCTTGCATGCAAGCCCTCCAGCCCGCGTGATAGGACGCTCAAAGGGTTCCTTCCTCAACATGTCTTCCCAGAATCCGAGCTAGCGCATCAACATCTCCTAGAAAGTCACCCTAATCCCGGACTTTCCCCTCCCCACTCCCCTCTTCAGTCGTGACCGCGCCCGAACGTGCCGAGATGTGACCGGCTCTCAGGAACTAGGGGTCGGGTGCGGTGTTGGCTGTTCATGCCTGCTCCCTGTCTCGCACTCTTATTCCCGATGAGTTACGATGAGGCGGTTTGCCGACGAGGTCTGACTTAACTGCATTCTAATTGGCGTTATTAAATTTTGCAGCGAGCAATGATGCAGGCGGGTCGATAAATCTCACCTGCCAGATGAAGAAGTGTTATTATTTACATTAGCGAGATTCGGCGCATGCCAGCATTCGACACGCATCGAGACCTCCGTCTAGCAGGCGGAGGTCGCGATGCGCGCCGTTCGCGGCGTGCGACTCCCAGCCCGGCGCGCCGATGAGCTTCCCTCGGCAGCCACCGGTGGCGCTAGTGGGCTGAATCCTCTCCGTCTTGCAGGTCGAGATGATGTCGCCCGGCCTGCCACGCTCCGAACCGCTGGTCATCAGCACGTACAGCGAGGCGGCCGGCCGGCAACCGTCGCCGCCGGCGCCCGTGTCGGCCCAGCGTTGCGCGCTGCTGGCGCTGGCGCTGCTGGCGCTGGCCGCGGCGCTGGCGCTGGTGACGCGCGCGCCGCGCAGCTGCGGCCAGCGCCGGCCGCCGTTGCCCGGCGCCCACTGCGTGTTCGCCGTCTCGTCAGACGTCCAGCAGAAGCCCGTGCCGTCGCCGTTGCTGGAGGCGTCTGTGGCGGTGCGTCACGTTCCAGAGCCGGCGTAGAACTTTCCGTGTGACATCGTGGCCGTGTCTCTGTGTGCTCGTGACGTGTCGGTCCTGCGACAGATGTGCTGCGGGGAGATTGGCATGATGCTGCGGTCGCCTGGTGCTGGAGGAACGTCACGGCCCTCATCAGGAGCCTAGCCATCAGACTGCACACTGTTGTCCCCGCTCCTGGAGATTTGTCTTGTTCCTCGTCTCGCCTCTCGCGTTGTTTCTTTCTTCACGCGTCTCCGCATTGGCGCTCTACTGGTGTCAGTACTGTAAAATCACGAACGTCACCGTTTACGACGCCGGTAATGGTCCAGTTGCCCATTGTCCGTGAGTTGTCTCGCGCGCGTGTCGCCCCTCGGTGAGTTGTCTCGCGCGTGTGTCGCCCTTCCGTGAGTTGTCTCGCGCACGTGTCGCCCTTCCGTGAGTTGTCTCGCGCGCGTTTCGCCCTTCCGTGAGTTGTCTCGCGCGCGTGTCGCCCTTTCGACCCTCTGTGTATTTATCAACACCGCTGGGTGGATCGCCACTGTGCGAATATGGACTGTGATAATGGGTGTTGCGCGACGCTGGCATGCCCTCTGTACAGTGTAAATAACGTTTTTGTAGTTATGTGTGGGAGTTCATGCGTGGTGTTTTTTGTAGTGTAGTTGTGGTGCTTTATGTGTGTCGGAGTTCATGCGTGGTGTTTCTTACCTCGAGATGGTGGGTGTTGTGCGCAGGGACTTGGTGCAGCTGGTGTACAAATATTATGTGTCTAATATACGCAGAGATGGAGAGAGAAAGTCTGCTGTCTCCTTTTCATAATTTAAATTTATGCGCCGAATTTCGCTGATAAGGTGGTAGCTTATGTCATGCTATCATATTTGTCTATTCAATATTTCGAGAAGAGATGCTTGCTGAGCTCTGAAGCTACGTTATCGCTCTACCAGGCCGGCACCCCTCCAAAGACTATGGGATCCACTGAAGAGTCATCAGGGGAGGACTCCATTATTCGTCCGCTGATTGATTTATGACTTGGTCTTCTGGGTGCCATCGCCGGATGGCCGGCCGAAGCTGAGGTCGGGATCAAGGTCGGGTCCGCGTCGGAGAGGAGGGCGCCCCTCGCACGGGTCGGAGTGGAGGGCGGCCCTCGCACGCGTCGGAGTGGAGGACGGCCCTCGCACGGGTCGGAGTGGAGAGCGGCCCTCGCACGGGCCTAACACGGCACGGGTCGCACGGGTCGGCTTCGAAGTCGACTGGGCCGGTCTGCCGCGCTGGAGCGGCGCGGGCGCTGAGGCCGCTCTGCTCCGCCCCCAGATCAGGCCTCCAGATCAGGTGGCAGGCGGGTCGACAGCTGCCGGCCCACCTCACGGAACCGGCGCCGGGGCGTGCGCGAGCCCTCCCCCTCGCCGGCCTGCAGGGCTGATGGCGTGCCGGCACCGGGCGACAGGGGCCCGCCGGCGGCTGAGGCGCTCCGCAGCCGCCGCCGCCGCCGCCGGTCTCATAATCTAATTAACGGCGCGGCGGCGGGTGCGGCGCCCACGGTGGCGTGCAGGTGGCACTCCCCGGCGGCGGCGAGGAGCCGCCGGCCCTGGGAGTGGAGCCTCCGCCGCCGCCGCCGGCCGGCCGTCACCGTGCTGCAGCTACAAACACGCCGGGTTTACAGCGCTGTTAAGTTTAGGGCCCCTCGAGTGCGCGCGACGACTCGGCACAGTTCGTGGCGGACAAAAAGCGCCGTAAAAGTCTCGGTCTGTCGGCGGCTGTTTTAGCCGGGAGGTAGTGCTTCCGGGAAAGGAGGAGCAGCCGCTGAGGTCGGCCAAGTGTGGGCCGACAATGCGGCCAGCAGGCGTCCATCTTTATGGAGGGCTGACGCTGGAGAATTGGGGTGTCAGGTCCATCGAAGTCACGGGCCGTGTCGTCTACAGTGTCTCGAATCGATTTCCTCTAAAATGCCTTGGAAGTCAGTTTAAATTATTTTATAGATTTCGAGAAGAGATGACAACCCCATACCAATCAGGCGCTTCAGTTCGATGGTTTGGAGATTGACTCTAATGCCCCTCCCGGTATCGTCCGAACGAGTTTCTCTCGCGGCGGTCGCTGGACGGGTACCGTAGCGGTCGCGGGACCGGCACCGTAGCGGCCGCTGGACCGGCACTTGCAGCGGCCGGTGGACGGGTACCGCAGCGGCGACTGGACCAGCACCACAGCGGCCGCGGACCTGCAACGCAGCGGCCGCGGACCGGCACCGCAGCGGCCGCGGGACCGGCGCCACAGCGGCCGCGGGACCGGCACCGTAGCGGCCGCTGGACCGGCACTGCAGCGGCCGGTGGACGGGTACCACAGCGGCCGCTGGACCAGCACCACAGCGGCTGCTGGACCGGCGGCCGTAACCGTCGATCGTGTGCAGTCCTCACCACACACGAATGCAGCGAGGCGGAGAGTCTCTGGTCGCAGGCTCCGGCCATGGCGCGAGCCGTGACCGGAGACAGAACGCGGCATCGGTGTGGCAGATCCCTCGCTCTCTCCAGTGCAGTGGTGCCCGAGGCCCGCGAGTCCTGCCTGGCGGCATCACACGAGTCCGGCGTCAGATATGGTAGGCCATTAAACCATTGAACTGGGGTATTGAAATCAGTAATTAAAGTAAGCGCATTAATTTACAGTGCATACTGCGTGTTGCACGGCTATTCCAACAGCGCACGCGCGTACGTTAGTTAGCCAACGCACATAGCCTAGAGTCTTGGCGGAAAAACGCTTAGATGCAAAGTTTTGTTCTGGCAAAGTTTTTTTCGTGGTGCGATAACATTGCGCGGAGTTTTTGCTGCGTGCTCTATCCAGGCACGCGACAGCAGGCAGGGTGGTCATCGCTGCGCCAGATCTCGGCGGGCCGCACCGTCCGGGGCTATACGACTTATTGTTTGTAAAGCATGTAGCATCTACATTACATCTGGCACGGCGCTGGTGGCTGTCGTGTGGACGCCGGTCGAACGCCGAGCAGATATGTGGCGTCTGACACATGCCGACCGTTTCCGCTGCTCACTCCACAGCGGCGGAGCTGATGCGTGGCAAACCGGTGCGTCATCTCAAAGAGTGAGCAAGCTGATGGGGGACGGGCACTAGAGGGGGGGCGGGGGGCACCGGCCACTTTTTGACCGGTGTATACCGCTCAGCTGACGTGCGGTGGTTGCGGGCAGCGCTAATTGTCATCCAGCGGAGCACTGTAGGAGAAAAAGTGCCTGGCCGCCACAGCCTCGCTTTCGCCGAGAACAACCCCGGAGTCGGTGAGCCGTCACTTTGATGTTCGCCGATCTGGTGGTGGCAACACGGCACCTGGCAGGGGGAGGGCGGAGGGGAGAGGCACAGAGCAGCCACGGGCCGAGGGCGTCGGCCAGCGGCGTAAGCCAATCATGTATGCACGGCACAGTTGCCACGTGTGTGTGCAGTACAGGCCATCGACACTGGTAATGTTCAGCGGCGTGTGTGAATGGCGTGTCTCAGAGGTGGTTCAGGTGACCAGGCGTGCTTGGGCGGCCGAGGCGTCTCGGCTGTGAACGCCGCACCTCGCTCGTGAAACAGCGGTTTCTCGCATCAGTGATGCACCGGGCGCGTCCGTTTCCCTTGATTTACTGTCTGTGTTACTGCAGGGAGAGTGCCGCCGACCCATCGCCGTTCGGACGCCGAGCACCTGTGTGCTCAGTGGGAGCTCACCCCGCTTAAAAGCCGCCCCCTTCCAAATGGACGGCGAACTGCTCGATTTGAATATTGGAGTCTAAGCCAAACAGGTCGAGCAAGCAGCGCTAGGAAACGTGATCCACCTTTCGAGCTTGAGCAAACGCGCAGCGAGCGCCCTAATTCGAAAGCAAACAGAACCGGCTTTGTTTTTAACGATAATCGAGTCGAGACAGCCCATGACGCCAGCTGTTGTTTGTCGACTTTGATCGGAGGCTCGGTGTTCAGACGGCGCTGACGGATAGCTTCGTGCCCCTACCGACAGTCGGAGGCGCGAGACCACCCCGGTGGCGGCTGCCTCCCCCTTGGATAGCTTCGTGCCCCTACCGACAGTCGGGGGCGCGAGCCACCCCGGTGGTGGCTGCCGCCCCTTGGATAGCCTCGTGCCCCTACCGACAGTCGAAGGCGCGAGCCACCCCGGTGGCGGCTGCCTCCCCTTGGATAGCTTCGTGCCCCTACCGACAGTCGGAGGCGCGAGACCACCCCGGTGGTGGCTGCCTCCCCCTTGTTAAACGTGCCGTTCTCACCTTGCCGGTCGCGCCGGAAGCAGGACTACTTGCTTCTGAAGCGAACATCGCTTGATGAAAAATGCGAAAGCTGTGATGGCTTTGCACTTAATTTTTATGACCTCTGTAATGCCTGCACAGTTTTGTCCACTCTCCTCCCTCAGAGAGAGATACAACGAGAGAGAGAGAGAGAGAGAGAGAGAGAGGAGAGAGAGAGGAGAGAGAGAGAGAGAGAGAGAGAGAGAGAGAGAGAGAGAGAGAGAGAGAGAGAGAGAGAGAGAGAGAGAGAGAGAGAGAGCCTTATATCACTCTAAAATTGAAAAAGATCGACTAGCAAGTAAAACAAACTCAGCAACTACGTATCGCTCGCATCATATTCGAGCCAGAGCATTGTTTCCATATGGAGAATGATTCCATCGGATCTATTCCATCGGATCTCGCTGCTCGCATCGGCTCCCTCGAAGGGAGGCCTGACTTGGCACGCCTCCCTCCCCGTCCGTTCGAGGAATGACGGCGCGGCGGCCGCTGCCAGCGCGGGCGGCGTCTGTTTCCGCTCAAAGGAGCCGACCAGACAGCCTTTCAAAGACGCGCCGACTCGCCCAGACAAATTCTGGCTCATTGGGCCGAGCCAATGATCCCCCAGACGATTCGGCAAACACGCCGAAATCGCCCACTCTGGGATACACGGAAGTCGGCGTTCACAGTCGGAATAAACGCTGAATCCCCAGCTGCCTTCGCAGGTCTCCAGGCGGCCACCAATCGCCGCCGCCGTGTGTCGTTGGGAGGATCTGCCGACCAGCC